GGGGGATAGGGATAGGTCTAGACATGCCTGTAGGTGAGATGATGCAACGGTGACCTGGTACGACAAGAGATGCTCACTAATGAACTGCTTTCACTCCCTTTCCCTGAGTCTTCCAGAGTCTTCCAGCGGCATCGTGGCTGATGGTGAACTCCTTAACCTTTGCACTGTAGTATAGCTAATACTACGTAATACCATTGTTCCGCCCGTCTCTCTGCGGGCTCTGTTTATTTCTTTGACTGGTTAAGGCTGTTGATGAACGTTTCACGTATGACTCGTATAATCTACCATGTCAAACGTGTATAATTCTGTTTAAAAACACTCCTTTTCCCTAAGTACCTACAGCGAGCAGCAGGGAAGACCCAAACTTGCTCTCTCGGCCACCCTAGTGACTCCTCCACGCCGACCGGGACTTATCAATAACCATCTGGTCTCACTGAAGACTAGCGCTCCCTGCTCCTGCGGGTAGCCTTGGCCCACGCGCTAATTGGTTCCTCTTTGCGGAGCTTCTCTTTATCCACAGGCTCAGGTCGTGACCCAAACCCATGTGATGGAAACTCTACACTGTGTACGAGTCCAACTGGCGTCCTATTGATGCCAATAGTGGGGCCTCGTTCATCCGTAAAATTACTAGCTTCGCATTTTCTCTGGCGGGCGGAAAGGGGAACGATCACGCACGCTAGATAGGCGACTCCACGAACGAAGGCATCACAGACGTATTCGCAATAGACAACCGCTGTCTCTATCTTACCGCCGCTGAGTCGGTCTTTATCAAGTGCTCTGTCCTACTATGGTCGAACCGAACGGACCACACAGAATTGAATAGATGATCACTCCAACTCCTCGCAGTTCGGGAGCTCATTGGAAAATGAGTTTAGGTTTTCTGACCTCTCGAATTGGAGGATAGTAGAGTAGAGAATGGTAAAATTGAAGGAGATTTTTTCAGTGACTAATCTGATTTGAAATGAGTAGTGGCTTAAACAAGTACAAGCTTGTTTTCCTCGGAGAGCAGGCCGTCGGGAAGACCTCTATCATTACTAGGTTCATGTATGATACTTTCGACTCCAATTATCAGGTAGCAACTCTACTCTGCCTGATTCCCACTCGCCTTCAGTGTTGGAATATATGCTCGTTTTCATCAGCTGAGTTCTGAAGTTTCCTCACTGATTATAGAAGTGCGCGGAAACCGACAAGAATTTCCCTAAATTTTCTCATAATTTTCAGCACATGTAGCTGTCCATGTGCATATTCTTCAACACTCCTCCCTTCCTTTCAGGCCACTATTGGCATCGACTTCCTCAGCAAGACGATGTACCTCGAGGACCGTACTGTGAGACTCCAGCTCTGGGATACCGGTATGAATAGCGGCTAGGTTACTGGAGACTGGGTTCATGTTGGTCGTGATTCTCTTCAGCTGGCCAGGAGCGTTTCCGATCTCTCATTCCGTCGTACATCCGGGATAGCAGTGTAGCAGTTGTCGGGTATGACATCACCAATAAGTAGTAGAGGCAGTGTAGGGGTGGACGGCAGGGACCGGTGTGTGCCAGGGCGTCCTTCATGAACTGCGAGAAGTGGATTGATGATGTTCGTACTGAGCGAGGCAATGATGTTATTATAATGCTTGTGGGCAACAAAACTGATCTCGCAGACAAACGGCAGGTATTTGTGCTCATACCACACCCTGTTCAATTCATGTTCATCAGGTTTCCACTGAGGAAGGGGAGCAGAAGGCCAAGGAGCAGGGCGTTATGTTCACCGAATGCAGTGCTAAGGCTGGGTACAACATAAAGGCCCTTTTCAGGAAGCTTGCTGCTGCCTTACCCCAATCCAATGATCAAGGTGCTGGTCAACAAGGGCAAAGTCAGAGTAATACTGTGGTCACCTTTTATTGCTATAGAATCATTGCTGATTGTCTCAGTCGTTGACATACAGTTGAACGCTAGTAATTCCGAGCCCCAAGAGCATGCTAAGAAATGTGCATGCTAATACTGCAATGGTGAGAGGATGGCAACTTTGGGTCTAATCATCCGAGACGCGAATCGATAGTGCTGTTGTTAAGGAGATCTGCTTCTCATCGTGTATCATCGATCATCATCATTCTCCTTCATTTAATGGCCTTCTGTATTATCGACTTGCGTTTAGTGGAATTTTTGAAAGATGTCGAGCCCTCGGATCGAACCTGGGTGGATGTACAAGTAATAGGACAGAAACATGTAGTTCAAAAACCCGATGTTCTGGCTTGGAGCTGTGCTCTGCTGCTCCTTAATCCTAGATTTTGGTAGTAACACAGCAACGAGGGTATGCGTCAGATGGACTAGACTTCAGTTTCTTTTGGGAAATACAACTGTCAATGTAGTCAAGTGCGAAGGACAAAACTACCGTCGTTCGTACTTGGGCAAGCAGACTGGCTAGTGACTATTAGGGCGTGGAGGAATGGCTCTCCTGGGAGTATTTTTCCATTACTCGGAACACAACATCAGGTTTTCTAACACGACGACAAGTATCGGGTGGTCATGGGGAGTCTTCAGCGGCTGTCGGCTCTTGATGGGTTGACATCGCCTGTTGTGAGAACGTATGATACGCCTGAGGCGGCGGTCCAATCCTTACATCAGCCATCATCGTCCAGGACTCGCGAACTCTCTCCCGAAGCTCCATTATGAAAGTAAGATTCGAATCCATAAGTTGACGAGATTCTGGTGAGCCTCCGAGTTCACGTTGGGCCTTGTATTGACGAATGAACTCGGCCCAGCAGGTGTCGATAGCGTCGAATGCACGGCTCCCTCGCGCTATGAGTGGCTCAATGCTCTTCGCTTCATTACGAGATTGGTCCTCTCTCATTGAAGACCTGGGACAGATAAGAGATGGTTGGAGTTTGAGTGAGGGAAGAAGTAATCGTGCATGAAGCAGGCTACTCACTCATCATCCATCAGTGCACGATCTACCAATAGCCGAGCTAGAGTAGACTGTAGATAGATGGGCTGGTCAGGCTCCGAGGGAACCGCCTGAGGAGCGCAAGCAGTTGACTCCTACCTTGCCAGTCGTGATGACAGTTCCTCATTGAGAACGTAGTTGTTACCTTTGGAAAGACAAGTTCCCCTTGCTCGTCACGAATGTGGAAGGCCTCAGGGATTGGGCTGTAATTGCTATCGCCCTCGATAGTAGTAGTACCAATGGGTGGTGCAAGTGGGAGCGTTCCGTCACCCTCGGTGGATGGTACCATGGCGCGGCACATTGGCTCACTCGGGCCCTCTTCCGCAGATTCGTCGACGAGATCGAGCTCATGGTTCCCCGAGCCGCTCGTGATCTTCTTCGGGCTAGATTTCATGACGTAGTCGCTGTAATTTTGGTATTGTACGATCTCGGCGGCCCGCTTCAGCCAGTAGTCCTTGTCAATAGCACGAGGGGAACATCGGGCAGTCGTACGAGCCGTATCGTTGGGGATATGCCGGAAGGGACTCCTTGGCGTAGTATGCGGCGCCTAGAATAAACGAGTCGTGAGCTCCCTAACGACAGTCAGCATTTCACTCACCAGTATCCTCCGAGGGGAGGGCAGTTGGTAGTCCCCATGCAGTTCGAGATAACTGATCTCTAGGCTCGGATACGTTCCTGGAGAGACCACGGGCCGTTCTTTCGGTATTGGAACTAGCGGCAACTTGATATCATCACGCCGTGGAGATTTACGCACCTTAACCTGAAGGGCACATGAGGGGAGTTTAACTTAGTTCAACGATCTTGCCTCATCGCAGCGATTATCTCTTGGTAAACGAAGCTCGAATAGCTGCAAAGGGATAGCTCCTTGTACGGGAGAATCCACACGGAATAAGTCGGAGAGAGTTGTTTCCAAATCGACGTGGCATTGATCCCCACATGGGGGACGAGAATCGTCCAAAATCACCATAAACTGATTCAGTTTAGTCGGCACTTCAGGAGATGATGAAGTAGTGGCCGCTCGCCTGTGAGACTAAGTATGAGACCAATGGTCGATTGGCGAGGGGAAACCCGTAAACGGCACATATTCTCGATGACTAACAATAGACTGCTTGTTCTATGTAATACGTATATCAGGGCGTATGGTGTAGTGGTATCACGTCTGCTTCGCATGCAGAAGGCCCCGGGTTCAAATCCCGGTACGTCCAGTTTATTGTGAAATCCTTTTGCCCTTTGCCAAGAGCACCCACAACATCTCAATCGCAAGAAATCCATCCACGCAAGGTTTTTTCCTCCAAAATGAAGCAGCATTGCTCAAACCCAAGAATGGCATGGTTAACCCAAGCGTAAGCGCCCCAGGTAGACCGAAAGCGCCACAAATGCGGTGCTTTCGGTCACCCATCGTCTTGCCTGGACATATTTCAATGGACTATCGTCTCGAGACTGCTCGATAAGCCTTGATTGCGCAAAATACAAGATAATTTGAAGTTGTAATTCCAAACACCCGATGGAAGCATCCCCTGTCGAAAGAGTTCTACGAGTTATCACCATCACACCCTGGCCATAGCGAGATCATTGTTTAGGCTGTCCGAAGGAAACTGGAAAGTTTCGGAATCCGCCTAATCGGACACGTGATGATATTCTAAGGCGAGTACATCACATTACTTCACACCAGAGCAATGAGGAAGCTCAGATGATATGGTCTAACGTCAGCCCTCTAACGAAAACTAACATTACATGATACCACATAGGCAATTCCTGCTGCAGGCCCACCCAAAACGACGATTTCAACGCGACACTTTTGAACTGAAAAACAAAGTATAACACTACCCTCACTTCTAATACAGTCTCTCGTGGTCCAGCGAACCGGTTCACGACCAGCTTATTGCCACAGTGATGTCGATAGTGTCTGAGCCGACAAGTACATACATCCATATCCATCCCGTTAGCGCTGTGTAAATAGTTTCGACCGAAATCTGTATCATGGGTATGAACTGCCCCAGAGAAAACCATTCGAATCAAATATACCGCGTACAGACGACCGAGATTGTCCACTACACTCACCTGTTCGAGCAATACATGCCTTATGATCATCACTCCAGTTTGTCCCCTATGGGCTTGGCGTTGCAGTAGGTATAGAAGAATATCAATACCACAGCAATGGTGCCGATCAGGTTACAGCCAAAGTAAACTTCGTATTCCATTGTAAGACAGAGAGGGGAGCAACGGAAAACTACACAAATGCTATAAGCATGACTCTACCATCGTTTTTGTGAGGAGCAAGGTCGTAGCGTTGAGATGTGATGAGAGAGCAAGATCGGCCTTGGGGACCTGAGGGGCGCAAACAAACCGTGTCACTAAACTTTGTGTCCTAAATCACTAAATTAGACGCGCGCGCCCCTGTAATCGATTTATGCGCGCCTAAGGTTAAGGAAAAGAACATCCTTCACACCGTTTCCAGGTGGATGGATAGACAAACATATAACTCGACTAACCGCTATTATTATATGCGGTGCAGGCCTTTCCCGCATGAGGTATGATGTTGCTATTACTACCCGCTACCGCTGGATTCCCCTCCGTCAACGTACGTGATATCTTTTGACGAGAAGAGAGAGAGATACGCCTACGTCGGAGAGACTGCTCAAACCTTCCTCCACGCGAACGGTATCAACGCAAACTGGCTGAACAGTTGTTCGATTAAGTGGGTGAAAAATCTCGCGTGTCAAGACTTGAGACGGAGGTTATATCAACTGCTATTACTTGCCAGGTTCCACAAAGATCCGACAGGGTTAACGACACGTCAGAGAAAAAGTCTTCGAGAGGTCTGGCATCGGTACTCAGTCTTCATTTTACCTACCGTGCTTCTTCCGCCGGAGAAATGCATTGTCGTGGATGCCAAGAAACTTCGATCATCTAATAATCAGGGGCTTAGGACCGATTACTTCTCTGTCAACCCGCAAACCAACAACTCAACTCGTAATGCGTCGATGAATTCACTTTCCACTCAATAATTCAGGTCAAAAGTTTCGCTGACAAGTCCCCAAGTTGAGCAATCAAGTGCAAGTACATCAAACATTCCACCACTCCTGTGGTCGACCGAAGCTCGAGAAGCCCATCAGCATCATTAATAAGTGATCTTCGATGAGTCATACTGTTCGAAGTATAGTGATCTGCATGGTGAATGATATAGTGTTGGGTTTTGCAGCTCAAGAAAAACTTGGAAGGTAAATCAAAATGTAGCTCACAAAACGAGTGTCGAGTTTGTCCAATGAGACATGGACTTGAGATAGATCCGCCTGGCCCGCTGAACCCTCTTCGTTAGCTTACTTCCCTTCGGGTTTTTGGTTCATCTGTTTCTCTTCGGGTTTCTGGCTCATCTGTTCCCCTTCGGTTTTTGGTTCACTTGTTTCCCTTCGGTCTCTAACTCCGTTGAAACGAAGTCGCGCTATATATGGACTTATAAGGGCGCGCGCTGAAATTTAGTGATTTAGGACACAAAGTTTAGTGACAGTGTTTGGACACGCCGACCTGAGGGGTCACTCTCATCACATGAACCGCCGAGAAACGGATAGGTTAGCCTTCTGATGGTGAGCAGTTGTGATTTGCGTTAGGAACGGTTACGTGGGCATTTTGCTAGGATGTTGCCACTGGAGTGTCTCGAGAGTAGTACTGCTGCTTCGTGGTAGGGTTTGACCGTTGCAATGCGGATGCGAAATATTATCACGCATCGACTCAGGAGTAGTAGATGTCCTCAGCCCTCGTAAGAGCTTCCCGACCGAGGGTGTTCTCCAGCGCTACCTTAAACAAGTATATAAGTATTATTGCCGATTCGGCGTAAGACTAAGATTTCGAGAAGAGTGCGTTGAGCTAAGTATTATCAGAGGCATAGGTTGGTTTGCAGTTTTTTGGTTGTTTTTGAATATGATCATCACCGATGATCAACAATGGCCGACAGAGGGCGACAACCCATTCGGTGTAGCAAGTACTATGGCAGAGGGCAAGCCTGAGGGCCAGGAAGAACCACTCGGTAGTATTACATAAAATATCCCTCAG